GGCGGGCCGGGGGGCGGCGGCGGCGGCGGCGGCGGCGGCGGAGGCGGCGGCACCGAGGTAATCCAGGTGACTAATGTCTCCCCGAGCGCTAGCTCTGAGCAGATGCGGACCCTCTTCGGTTTCCTAGGGAAGATCGACGAACTGCGCCTCTTCCCGCCTGAGTGAGTATCGTCCACCATCACGGTTTTTGCTAACTCCTCCTCATCCTGGGCCTAACGCACAGCATTTCCTGCAGGCTCTTGTTCATGCTTCCCTGGGCTAGTCTGCTTTAGTTGAGGTTGGCTATTGCGTTTACTTATGCAAGCAATCTGTGCATTAGGCCTATTAATAATGCAGAGAGGCAGGGCCAGGGTTTTGGGGGATTAGGGGACGCTTGTAATCTTGTTTTTTTTTTTTCTTTTTCTTTAAATTGTGCCAGCGTGGTCGTTCTTTGGGCACTTAAATCAAGACAAACTGCCCACTTGATGTATTTTGTATATAGGTTAATATCTTTATAAAAAACAAATGTTTGAATTCTTTGGAAAGTAACAAAAATATTCGTCTCTATGTTAATTTGATATTGAAATTTATAGGCTGTTGTTCACTTAATGCTAAATATTGTTCAGTGATTCTGATCCAGTGAACATAATTCACAGTTAATACTCAGTTTGGACAGACAGTTAATTCAGTGAGCCTGAGTAGTTTTTAAAATGAGAGAATGAGTTATAGCTGAAACCTTGGGTTTTCCTTTGTTTAAATAATGTACATATTTATATTTCAGAATTGTTCTTCAGAAGGAATTCTGTAGAATGTTAAACTTTTTAATTTGGGGTATATGGTTTTTGTTTTTATCCTACTGTCTCATTTCTTATTTGTATCACAAAAGTATTGAATGAGTGCAGTAATTGTAAAGAAAAAATAAAGCTATGACAAAATGTGATAAATATTAGAGCAAAAATTTGAAATAATAAAACAGTCCAGTGCTCTTTGGGAAGAGTGAAAATTCAGATTTTACTGTCAGTGGGTACTCAGTACCTGCTGTACCGTAAGAGTTTTATGATGTCACTTAAGTTCTAAACAGGAAATTGGAATCCTCAAGTAAGCCACGGTTGTGGATGTAATAAATCGTTAACCTCTGTACACTTCTCAAATAATTAATGGAAGTTGATCATATTGTGGTATTTATTACTGTATTTCATCACTTTCTACTTGAAGTATTTTCAGATGATTATTGTTTGCAAGTGTTGTGTTGTCTTTAATTTTGAGGGAATATACATGTGGAGGGAGATTTCAGAGTAATTTACATGAAGTGTAGTAGTCTGGCAACAAACATGTTTTTGTTATGGTTATTTTGAACAGAAATTTGCTTTGACAATGAAGGACAAATAGCTTTCATAATAGAAACTTATAGATGTTTTGCTGTTATTTTCTCACAACATACCCTTTATTAAATTGTTAGTGAAATTAATAAACAGTAAAATGGCAGAAAATAAAAGTGACACATCTGATTATTATCGATGACTTGATTGTAATCATGTTTCTCAAAGTATGTGAGATACTGGATTTATGAAAAAATTATTTCTAGTCCAGCAAGTCATTAAAAACTTCTTTATAGGTGCTAACTGTAAAATGCTTTTATTTCGAAGGTGTTCTTTTTATGATACTTTTATAAAAAGATGACAAAGAAGTGTGGGAAGTTTACTGGATCTTTTACCTAACACATGGTCCATATCTTAGAGGGAGTCATGATGGAACAGTCTGGCTTTTGATTTGTAGTCAAAGGAGTGGTTCCATCATAACCAGGAGAGTTTTGTGTACCAGGTAACATGATCTGGGGTGCTATGCATTAAGAGGATTCTCTCCCCTATATTGGGAGGAATAGATAAATATTGACTCACTTTTTCTCTTTGACTCCTTCATATATGTTCCCACATACAGATCATTTTCTCTTCTGAAAATGCATGAAGTAACAATATAGTGAATGTTGCATTGCTAGTGGCCTTTCCAGTTTGAATAGTGTGAATGTAGATGCTTACTTTTGTTCATTTTAACATTGTTGTTTTTGTTGTTTTTTTAACTAATTTAAGCCTCAGTAGCTAATCTGATCTGCACAATTTGGAAATACTTTATTGACAATTTCTTTAAGCTCGCTACAGTTTTCAACAGTTTGCTGGGGATAATGTGCTATGAAATCCCTAGCAGTCTAAAAGGGGTTCGTTATTCCAGAAATACTCCAAAAATTTACTCTTATTCTACGAATAAGATTGAATGACTTGGATCACTTAAAATTCTATTGATTGTAAACACATTTGGTGTTTGATTTTTTTTTTTTTCCTTTTAATGGGTATGTGTGTATTTCTCCCAAAAGGTATTCTTATCCACCTGGAACTCTTATCCTAGATATGCCCGTGACGGGCTTGCTTTCTTTTGTTGCTGAAATGTCACCTAATCACACTATATAAAAATACAGCACCCCTGCTCCCTGCCTTCTCTATTCATTTAACTGCTTTTTCTGTGTAGCACCATTAACCAACTTACAAGTTTGACTTCCTCCCTCTTCTAGAATGAGGTCCCTTGGGGTCATCAACATCACTGTAGGGGCATTTTTAAAGAACTTAAATGACTGAGCCCCAACCCATACCTGCTGAAACTAATTTCAGTTCTAAATGCCTGTTTGGGGGGGAAATTCCTGGGATCTGGGATTATGCCAGACATTTCACTGACAACCTCTTCAAGAAGGTGACTCCCTTTGTTTCATTATTGAACCATCTATATCTTGGTTCCTTTAAGCCAGAAATTGCTGGCTTATAATTTCACCCAGTGATAATACAATTTTCACAGGAAATAGTATTCTGTCCCTCTCTTCAGTATGATAGCCCTACCTACAGCTATCTGAAAGCATCTGTCAGTGTTCCCTCATTCTTCCTTTTTAAAAGAAAAGGTTACTTTGATTCTGGTTTTTCTTAAAATGCATATTGAAAATTCAATATGGTTTGTCTCTTGTATGCTAAATGCTTTCCTATTTTATCTTGCTCAGTCCTTACATATTCAGAAGAAGAAGGTATTTTACCATTTTACAAATGAGTGAACTGAAATTCACATAGGTTCTGTATACGCGAGCCCCTCTACTAGTGTCAGAACTATTATTCGAACCCCAATGTTCTGATTCTTTTTTGCCACTTGATCAGGATTTCCTTGATTTAGCCAAACAACTTGTGAGTGGAATCATTCTTTTACGCCTGGTAGGTATTCTTCAAATATTTGATTTTAGTGGGATTTCAGAGTGGAGAATGTAACAGGAGTCCTTATCAGGTAATGATCCTTGAGATGCATATGCCAGTTATGCAGTAACTGAAAGCTCCTTATAACACTGCAGATAAATTCATTACTAACTTTTCAACGACCAAAAAGAGATAATTTAATGATCTTATAAGTAACTTAGTATAGTTAGGTAAGGGAAAGAACATAGTTTACCTTTTAAAATTTTTTAAATAAATGCAACAATTTACTGTATTTCTTTAGAACTGAATAAGAGCACATGATGGAAAGGGCATATGAGGTCAACAGAGTTGTTAGCTTTGCCACACACTTGCTGTTTTGCAGGGTTTAGGAGTTGCTTTGTTTATAAGCTCAAAATTCTCTGCTCAGAAATGGTTAGCTCAGTATTAAGTTGGGGGTTGAAAGAACTTTTGACCCAAACCAGCAATTCTACTTTAGCAGGCATGAGTATAAGCTGCGGACCTTGTTAAGGATCAGAGCCTTCCCGTAAAAAAAAGGGATTCTCAGATTCAGTGGGCTTGAGATGGAAAAGAGTAATCTGAATTTTATGTGTGCATCCCAGAAGATTCTGAAACAACCCTTAGAGGTCACTCTTAAGAAAGTAGAGACAATACCACCACCAATCTTGCTCCTCAGTTCTTTTCAACTGCACTGCCTCTTCTATATTAATTCTTTTTTTTTAATTAATTCTTAAAGATAAGGAGTAAAGACAATCTTATTTGTAGCAGTGGTACTTGTACAAAATTCTAGGGTATGAAAATTAATTTCCAGTATCAGTTCTTTATCTTAACATCTCTTTTATTAATTTTAACTGAGAAAATATGACAGTATACTTGTGAGACCAAATAGCAATGGTTTTAAACAAGACCATTTAAAGTGGAGAGAAATTAATTATTTGTCCTTCTGAGTTGTCTTACTGTGACTGTCTTTTCCGTGATATTTAAATTGTTTGTATTTTATCTTTACTTCACCGCCACTTACAGGTTTGATATAGCCACCTAATGTTGCACAGACATGAGTGGGTAGAAAAAATGTGAATTATTTAAGATCGCCAAGTAAATGGAAATACATTGGGAGAATGTAGGCATACTTTCCTAATTTTTTTTTTTTATTTTTTGGCTGTGTTGGGTCTCTGTTGCTGCGCGTGGGCTTTCTCTAGTTGCGGCGAGCGGGGGCTACTCTTTGTTGCAGTGTGCATGCTTCTCATTGCGGTGGTGTCTCTTGTTGCGGAACATGGGCTCTAGGCGCCCAAGCTTCAGTAGTTGTGGCTCGCGGGCTCTAGAGCACAGGCTCAGCAGTTGTGGCGCACAGGCTTAGTTGCTCCGTGGCATGTGGGATCTTCCCCGGATCAGGGCTTGAACCCGTGTCCCCTGCATTGGCAGGCGGATTTTTAACCACTGCGCCACCAGGGAAGCTTCCTAATTTTTTTAAAAGAAGTGTTATGTTTATATTCTTTAAAAACCTAATATTTGATAGTCATTATGTTTTTCTTTTAGTTAAATGACAATAGATGGTATCAAAGAAGTGGTAGAGGTCACTTTTTAAGAAATTTAAGTGCTCACTACCTGCCAAGGCATTGTGTTAGATGTTAAGAATGTAAAATGATAGTGTTTAAAGAGCTTTTTAATATAGTGGTAAGAATGTGGATGTCAGGAAAGAAATACGAAGAGCTATATAGCTTTAGTACTAAAACTAATGAAACAGCATTCTTTTCAGTATACTGGGTGCAACATTGTTAATTTAGACCAGTGATGGTTTACACTAAAAAAACACTGTATCCTTTCAAAAACATTTTGCAGTAAACTTCTGTAACAAGATGGCTTAAGTCCATTTTGATATTTGTGATACATACATTGACAGCTTTGCTTTGAACCTATCTTTACCCTGGGTGCATATTAAAATTGTCAGGGAGAATTAAAGAAGGCAGCACTCAGTACTTCATTCATCAGAGATCTTGATGTAATTGTAATTCCACACCCTCCCCCAGCTCCCGCCATGATTCTAATATAAACCAGGGATGGCGTGATTACTACTGCCTTATGGTATTGACTTTCAGATAGCTTTTGGTTTGGTCTTAAGGCAACCCCTGCCTTTATTTAATCTTTCCCTTTCACAGAGAGTTTAGTGGCTGAAATTTAACCATGTTATATTTTTAAAAAACAGGAAAAACTCTGCTCTTTTTCTAATCTTATCTTAGACCTACCATTGCTTGCACCTTAGCAACTTGTTTTTGTTTTATATAAGAATGCAATTGCTGAGGGGAGTGACTCTTTGCTTACTGAAATTTTGCCTAATTGGAGGGCGGGGTGTAGTATTATTCCCATGTGTGCTTAATTTTCTTTTTCTCTGTGAAAGTGCTCTAGTGGGAGAGCCTTAACTATTTATAATGCCTGGGAGTTTTAATATGCTGTAGGTTGAGGAGGACAGGGCATTTAGTGGCAGATCAAGGAAACTCATTGTCAAATAGATGTACTTTACCACAATATTCGTATGTCTCTAACATGGAATGGTTTTGTTTTTAACTCTGAAAAGTTAACCATAATGAAAAAGTTTTGTTTTTAACTCTGAAAAGTTAGCCGTAATGAAAAGTTTTCTAAGCCAAAACTAATTACTTGTTACCTGTATTTTTAAATGGCTGGTATTGTTATTATGAAATAAATGTTGACATTTTTGTGACCTGTTCAAACTCTGAGACTTTATAGTTTCCAGCTGTTTGTAACTTGATACATTGTAAATTTAAGCAGTGATTGTTTTTGTCTAGGTGCAGTTTGCTACAGTCAGTTCTGTGGGTAGTACTTTATTGGAAATGTTACGTATTTTTGAACTGGTTAACTAATATGTGTGCAGTTATGTATTTTTATCTGCCTCTTTTACTTTTGGAATGCAAGTGTCATTTGTGAATCATTCATTTCTGTTTTAGCTGATATTTTTCTCTTCTTTTATGTTATGTTTATTTTTTAGTGATTCGCCTTTGCCAGTCTCATCCCGAGTCTGCTTTGTTAAGTTCCATGATCCGGACTCAGCAGTTGTGGCACAGCATCTGACAAACACTGTATTCGTTGACAGAGCTTTGATAGTCGTACCATATGCGGAAGGTTTGTGCTTTGTTTAACTACCTACGTGGGCATCCTATGATGACCATCTACCTCAGTGTAGTTTTAGAGTGAGCATTAGTAGCATGTTAAAAATCTAAGCTATTAACATTTTGAAACCCTTGTTATACTGTGGTCCATATTTTTACTTGAAGGCTTTCTTTTTAACTTAAAACTTCAAAATCAGGTCTGTTTTTATAAGATAATTAACCTTTTGCATTATTTTAAAGCATTTTTAAGTTTATTAAAACCATATCTCTAATATCTACTTAGTTAATTTAATGTTGTTTTATGAAAATGTCCTGAAGGTGAACAGTTCACGCCATGCACATTTACACAGAAACCTTCAAATAAATGCATGATGTTGTTTCTGTTTTGAATAAATGTGACCAGGTTGGTTTTATTCCTTAGTGATTCCTCTTAGTGATTCTTCTCACTGATAACTTTAAAAAATATATCCCACATTGAATTTCAGTATACCAAGGGTCGCAATGATTTTGGTTTTTATGAAAGTTCAAGATTTCCTATAGCTTAGGTGCCAGATGGGCACTGGGTGTTTTGTTTTTATGCCAGATTTTCTTGTTCATTCTTGCTATATTTTCTAGAATATCTCTAAATAATAAATTCTTCTCTCTGTTATTTGTGTGTGTGATTTTTGTAGTGGAGAAGGCAAATGCAAAACTCTTCCAGATGACTGAAAAACAGTGGGTCCTCTGCAGCTACAGGGGATTCTAGACATTAACTAAAGGCCAGCAAGCACTCAAGTCCCCCAGGTGTTTTCCTGGTGTAACCATTTGTTAACTACATTTTTCTCTCTTTTTACATTTTAGGCTGTTAAAGTAATTTGGCAGAAAAATAATGAGCAGGGTTTTTGGATCTAAAAAAGCCACTGTGACAAGACAGCACTCTATTAATTCCATTTTGTAAAATCTTCTAAGACATATATTAGTTTGTTCCCAATGTACTGCTACTTTATTTGCTTTTTGGTAACTATAAATTTGAGTCAAAGAAGTCACTGAAATATGTTACAACTACTGGATTTTATTAACATATATGCTGACCGGGATATAAATGCTTTCCCCTTTCCTTAGTGAACTGGTCAGTGGAAGCAGAATCTTGATATTGTTAACTTTAGATGCTATCTTAGATCTTTGAATACCGATGTGAACATTTACACCATTCCTTGTAAAAGTTGTGAAATGTCTAGTCCTTAAAACTTAGAAAAATTGCCTCTGTGGTTTTCTAAAGAAATTAAATTGCATTCATAGTTGGGTTAAGGCATGCTATATAATAACAGTAAATCTATGTCCGTGATATTAAAGTGTATGAGCCCAATTTTAAGGTTTTAAAATATATATATGCTGATAAACTTATGAGTTAGTATGTTTTGATTAAGCATTTTCTTTTATATCAGTGTGCCTGTTGTAGGATAAGACTTATCACCAAGAGAAAATTTACAGAATTCAAATTTAGGATAAGTAAAATGTAGGACATAGCTTTTGGAACAAGGGTCAAATCATGTGAGTAATTTACAAAACATTAGTTAGCCTTTTAATTTAAAGAATTCTTATTGGCTAAGTATTATAGTTCCCAAGCCCTGAACATAATACAGTATATCATATAACTGGCTTTCATAAATATTTTTAGACCATAATAATTTTTCTGGATCTGTTTTGAAAGTGAAATATTTAGAGAGTACATATATAGAATTACAGAAATATTTAATTCCAGAATCTATTAGTGTATTACTGTAATTTTTGGTATGGTATGCTGTATTAATGTTATGTCCACTAAATATCTGATGTACTCAATTCCTTTGTCACCATTCACCCTGGTTTTAGCTCTTAAGCATTGGTGTTGGTTCTTGGTCAGTGTTTTAGAACAATAGACACAAAGTCTACGGTAAGGAATAGTCTTAACTGGTAAAACTGAGATAGCTGGATTTGGAAGGAACTCTTAATAGTAATGGATTTGGGGATTATTTAGGTTCCTTGGTTAATGTTTGTTTCTTTTGTCTGTTTCTTTTTCTTTCGTTTCTACACATTCATGCAGTATTTCATGGTTCTATCAAAGCAGCAGTAAAAAAAAATACTCTTGACGCATGAAAATTAACTGGTGAGGGGCCTCATTGCTATTTTTAAATTGTAGTTTTATTTTTAAATAGTCTTTTTTTAATCAGAGGATCAGATGCATGACTTTTTTTTTAATGGATGCAGATCTTCTATCAGGTGTCTCACAATAAATTCAAGAGGATTTTAGTTTGCCAGAAATGTTGCAAATGCACTAATTTTAGTAAGATGTTGATACTTAATATTATCCTCTTGAGACATAATTTTGCATGCAAAATTATCCCATAATCTTTGTAGGTTTGTTAATAATGATGCATTAATGCCCTATATCTAAATGATCTTCTCCCCCCCTCCCCCCCTCCATAACTCTTGGTATCTAAATTGATGACAGCTCTGACACAAGCAAGATAACAGTGCTGTGTAGTATACATTTGTTTATATTATCGGCACTTCTCAGTTTAGGTGGAAGGAACCATTACCTTTATTTAACAGTGGTTTTTCTTTTTTGTTGTTGTGTTTTACAGTTCTTTTCCCTGGTTCAGCCTGAACTATATACCAGGCCCTGCTGAAAATACCACCCAACAGTTTTCTTCTGCAGCTTATCCAGTTTCTCTTAAGTGCCCTGTACATATTGTATGTTTTATGATGAGATGCAGTTTCTTAATATGTATTACAGAAATACTACTGGTATTTGCAAATATGTAGTTTAATTGTATTATTGAACTCTCATTTTGGGGGCTTGGGCACATTAACAGATTAATCCATCTGTATAGGGCTTTTGCTGTTGGATAGAATTTAAATTGTCTACATAAATATTATTCTTAGGGCCCTTAGATTTTATCTGAATACACAGATTAGGCTTTAAAAACAGACATACATGTTGTTTTTGGCTTTAGGAGTTTGGCTAAGCTAGCTTTTCAACTGACACTATGTAGCAGCATTTTTGGTATGGTTAGCATGGCACATGTTGGAACATAAGGCATTTTACTGTACAGGTAAGGAATGTGCCATGTTGTTTTACTTATTCTCTCTCTCTTTCTCACTCACACTCCCACACACACATCCTGTGTGTATTCAGAGACCTTCAGAAACATTCATATTCATTTTCATGAGTCAGCAAAAGCCCTACGCTTGATTCCAACAGAATATTTCCTTTACATACTTTTCTTCTCTTAATTTTTACAAAATTTGTATGGTAGGTGTAAAAGAAAATCATAGTAACTGTACCATATTATTAACCCCTAAATCAAACTTTTTTTGTCTTGTGTATCTTGATTTTTCTGTGTGCTTTATAGTGAAGCAGCCGACACGAGTCGTTGTTCATAAAACAGCTTTTGAAAGTTGAGAGCACACCCCTGGAGAACCGACTGTGCTTGCTTACGTTTGGTTCATGACTTAAAAATCGAGTACAGGTGATGAAATCTTGGCAGTGTTAACAAAAAAGTAGTGTGTATTGTGCTATTTTTTTTTACTCTAGAAACTTAACCATTTGTAGAGAAAAAGGATACAGATTTTCACACATTGAAGTTTCATTCTGACATAAAATTAATGATAAATAATCATAGAAATCAAGCTTTATATTTTAGCGAACATAAATACTTTCAGCAAACTCAGGTGGTGTATCAGGGAGACATTTTCTGGGTGTTTTTGTGTGTTTTCTGTCTTGCAAAAGAGTGTGTTCTAATGCATGGATGTTTCTCTGCAGGAGTTATTCCTGATGAGACTAAGGCTTTGTCTCTGTTGGCACCAGCTAATGCAGTGGCAGGTCTTCTGCCTGGTGGTGGACTCCTGCCTACTCCTAACCCACTTACCCAGGTATTAGTTCTGTTGAATTCTTAAAGAATGGAAATATATTTGTGCTTTTGAGTGCTGTTGTGATTCTGGTTCATATACTGTTATCACGTGGTCAGAGCATTGTAGAAGGCTGTAGTATTGTAATCATAAATATTAAAGTGGTAGTTTGCGTTTTAAGAACATTCTGAGAATTGTAAATATCTTTTATCGTTTTGTCACTGGCTCTCAAAATAGCCCGTAAGTCAGGAGGCATAAGATTTCTGTTGTATATGTTGTTTAAAATAGTATGTTCATTTGAACTACAAAAGAAAAGGTGAAGTTCAGACTTTTTTTTTTTCTTCATGTGCTGTTATCTAGCTCTTGGGTTTTAAATTAAGTAGGTGGCTTAAAATAAAGATAAATTCAAATATCTGGGTGATTTGTAGATGCCTTTGATGTATAAAATTGTATAATAACTAAACCATTTTTATAATAGTACAGTTGATCCTTGAACAACATGAGTTTGAACTGCTTGGTCCATTTATATAAGGATTTTTTTCTGCTAATACATATTATAGTACTGCATGATCCAAGTATGTGGACCAGCAGATACAGAGGGCTCACTGTAAAGTTACAGGTGTATTTTCGACTGCATGAGGAGTCAGCACCCCTAGCCCCCATGTTGTTCAGGGATCAACTGTATTAACAGTGTTTTAACTCAGTAAACAGTTACAGTGCAGGAAGTTTGGTAACTTATTTTTACTAAATAATAATGAAACTAGGAGAAATTTCAGCACAGTGCTTGTAGAGAAGGTCAACGGCCTCCAGAGTTATAAGATTTTGCATGGTTTGTGTGCATTAAACTGACTAATCAGAATTATGTCAGGCAGGAGACAGAACCATACCGTAATTCGAAGGAGAAAAGTTTTAGTATAAGGAATTACTAATTAGTAACAGGAGATTACTAAGGGAACTCTAATGAGTACCAGAATCGCAGGTATAGGAAGCAACCTCTACTTCTAAGCTAAGGAAGAAAACACAAGAAAGAAACACATAGGTGAGGGGGTGCATCTTCCCCCTCAAGGCTAAGATTCAGACCTCCTTCAAAAAGGTAGATACAGTAGAAAGTTCTCTGGGGTACCACAGAACTTGATAGGAAGCTGCCTAAGAGGATGGCACTGAAACTCACTGAGGTGAAGGCCACTGAGTGTCCCATGTGGCACTGCAATAAGAATCAGAAAGGAGACAAAAGAACTATAAAGAATCCCTTCCACAGTCAGTTCCCTTCCAGCTCCCCCTAAAGGTATTTCCAGCTCCCCCTAAAAGTAAAGCTTAACATCGTGCCAGCTGTCAAAGGAGAAATGCTTATAAGGGTGCTGCCTTCAGTATCACACAGTAGGACAACAAACAATGGATTTGGAGCTAAGAAGCAGTAAATATTTATAAATGGCACAAGAATGTGTGAAAATCCTTGCATTTTTTCTAAATTCTGATTTTAGAGATAAATGTGCTGTGATGAGTGAAAAATGAGGCCATCATGTTATAGCAGGGGTAGGCAAACTATAGCTCTTGGGCCAGACCCCTGTTATCTGTTAAGTTTTATTGGAACACAGTTATGGCCACTTATTTATGTATTGTCTCTGACTGTTTTTGATCTACAATGGCATAGTTAAGTAGTTGCACCGGAGTCTGCACAGCCTACAGACTTAAACTAGTTATTATCTGGCCTTTAGAGGAAATAGAAGTTGACGCACTCCCCCAACCCCCACAGTATAAGAAACGGAAACAAGATTTTAAATAAATAAAATTTGAAATTTCACAGATTGGCGCTGTTCCATTGGCTGCTTTGGGAGCTCCTACTCTTGATCCTGCCCTTGCTGCACTTGGGCTTCCTGGAGCAAACTTGAACTCTCAGGTATAACTTAATACCCTTCAACTCTGAGCTCATTTTTGTAATTAAAAAATTTACTTCATTAAATGTTAGTTTGCATTTCAAGAGCAGGAGGTAACTGACTTATATATTGTAGTAATTTTTTTCTTATGTACACTTGTTAATGAGAGATTTAAAAGGTCTCTGCATTATTGGCCCCTTGCCCATCAAAGAATTTCTCATTTGATAAAGTTCAAAGTAGACTAGTTTCACAGGAAGCCAACACCTCATGAATATGTTATGAAGTCAAAATAAAGTCATAAAATGATAGGAATGTGTGTTCATAATTTATTCTCTTGTCATCTACTCACTTGGAGATTTTTGTTTTTCCTCATTGCGATTTGGCTAAACTTTTTCCTAAAGTCCTTTATGGAATACTTTTGATTATTATACTGACTAAGCACTTTGAGTTTTGTTTTACATGTTTCCTTAAAATGCTACTTTCCCTTAGAATGTCTTAAAATAAGGAGGAAGTGATTATTCTATAAAATCTGGACTGTTCAGCTTCATAATCTTCATAATTAACCTGATAAAGCAGCTCTGGGTATCCAGTACTACAGTCACTAATGTCACCTGTTTACTTTTTTAATGTTGCGACTAGAAAACTTAATATGACATATTTGGCTGGCATTATATTTCTATTGGTCATTGTTGTGCTTGGGATATGTTAGTTTCTGTAGGTTTGCCAGATTGTTCTAGGACATTTCAACATACTAAAAAAATTAAAATAGTAATCATTTATTGTTCTGTGTGTTCTCATCGCTATTTTTTTGTTTTTCCAGTCTCTTGCAGCAGATCAGTTGCTGAAACTTATGAGTACTGTTGATCCCAAGTAAGGATTTTTTTCTTCTGTTTCCATTGGTGATAGATATAGTAATATCTAGAGAACAGGTATTTTATTTTTGATAGCTAAAAGAAAGTTTTCTCAAGGCATGCAATATGTAATCCTGTTTTCTAGAAACAAGGAGAAAAAATCCAGAGGTAAGCCCATCTATAAAGGGTTTTGTTTTGGAATAATTATTGGTCTTTGAAAATCATTGTAAGTAGGTTAAACCAGGATGACAAGTAAAGAACTAGGTGTTGTCTTTAGTTGATTCATTTAAAAATTATACTGACTACTACTGTACTCAGGAAGGGAGACACTATTTAACTATAGTAAAGCATGTGCATCCAACTAGAGGAAGTACAGAGGTGCTATGGGAACTTATTACAAGGAGGAGAACTTAGTTCAAAGATCAGAGAGGCTAAGCCCTAGGGCAAGAGTCCCCAACCCCCAGGCTGCGGCCCATACCAGTCCACAGCAGCCTGTTAGGAACTGGGCCGCACAGCAGGAGGTGAGTGGCAGGCGAGCGAGTGGAGCTTCATCTGCTGCTCCCCATCACTCACATTACGCCTGGACCAGCGCCCCCCCACACCCACACACCCCCGTCCGTCCATGGAAAAATTGTCTTCCACAGAACTGGTCCGTGGCTCCAGGAAGGTTGGGGACCACTGCCCTAGGGGATGAATAAGAGGAAGACAGAAGTGAGGGAAACACTAGCCCAGAGTAAAGGAGTAATACATGTCACATAATAATAGTCAACATCTTTTTAGGGGCTTTGAAAAGTTTTCTTCATGCTGTAACTTATATTTCCTACTCGATATATCACAAATTCATGAGATATTTTCATTGCTAATTTCTTGGTGTATCAAATCTGAGCTTAATGCTTCTTCTTAACTTGGTGAAAGTCACTGTCAGTAAGTGGGAGAGCATGTGGGGGAGGCAGGACAGACTCATTTGATTATAGTAGTTAGTGGCATTTTTGTCTTAAAAATTACCAGGTAAAATCCAAGTGTCTACCACCCTGCTTATAAAAATATCACTAATACAGTTTTTAGGGGCTTCCCTGGTGGCGCAGTGGTTGAGAGTCTGCCTGCCAATGCAGGGGACACTGGTTCATGCCCCGGTCTGGGAGGATACCACATGCCGCAGAGCGGCTGGGCCCGTGAGCCATGGCCGCTGAGCCTGTGCGTCCGGAGCCTGTGCTCCGCAACGGGAGAGGCCACAGCAGTGAGAGGCCCGCCTACTGCAAAAAAAAACACAAAAAACACTAATACAGTTTCTAAAAACTCCCTGTGTACTCATTCTTGTTTACATTTCCCACTCTACCCACAAATAACTACCAGCCTCAACTTGGTGTCTACAGTATTTTTTCGCTTTTATAAACCCTTAAGGTGTATCTTTAGCCTTTCCATTCAGGAATTTTGTAAGTAATTTTGGTGTGCCATTGGCTTCTGCCTCAGTTTCTCCCCATCTGCAAGCTTAAAAGTAATTCTCTTCCCCAACAAAATTATGATGATTTAGAAAGTTTTTAAATCATATTAAGGAAGATTCTGTTAATCAAAAATCTTTAGCATCAGCATATTCCCATGTACTAACATTTGTCAAAATGTGTATAGAAAGTTCATGGATGTTGAGCAAAATTAAATAGATTTTTTTTTCTTATTCCACATATCTCTGAGTCTTTTAAAGTGCAGGTGCCATTGTAAATATCCAAAGCTTACTATACTATATATTTATATTACATATAATTTTATCAAAATTGTGGAGTTCCCCCCCACTTTTTTTCAAGGAGTATCTTACTAAAATGATGATAGGAACATGTGTTTATTTGAAATGCTGTTGTACATTTTAAAATATTTCAGATGCAATTCTTGGTTCTGTTCCAGGTTGAATCATGTAGCTGCTGGTCTTGTTTCACCGAGTCTGAAATCAGATACCTCTAGTAAAGAAATAGAGGAAGCCATGAAGAGAGTACGAGAAGCACAGTCCCTAATTTCTGCTGCTATAGAACCAGGTATAATAGGTTTATGCAATTATGTTTGGAAATTTGTTGAATAATACTTGTCATTTTTTTAAATTTTATTTTCCGTATTTTGATAAAAGATCATTTAGTACAGTGATTCTCATTTGGGAGTGGGTGGGTGGTATGGGTAAGAGTTGTTACCCAGGCATATTTGGAAATATCTGGAGACACTTAGTTGTCATGCTGGTACCAGCTGCATCCGGTAGGTAGAGGGCCAGGGATATACTAAACATCCTACAGTGTACAAGCACCTCCCACTCGCTAAACAAAGAATTCTTCATTCGGAAACATTAGTGCCTAGGATCACCTAATGCTTCGTGTGATAGTTTGGTTGTTTTTAATTTATGAGGTTTTTTTTTTTTGGTGGTTTTTTAATCATTTATGTTTGCGTAAGTTGGGGTAGCCTAATTGATTTCAGTCTTTTATTTGACCAAGAAAACCTACTAAAGATCTTCTGTTTATGCCATTTGTTTAAAGAAAAGCAAATATATTATTCTTTGCAGATTGTCTTTTTGAGATGAAATGAATGGTTGTCCCATTGTCTTCCTGCATGTATTTTGGTCTTTGGTCCTGATTTTTTTTTCCCCATTAAAAACAATGTTTTATTCATTTTTTCACTCTATTTCTTAATAAATGGGATGGTTTTTATTATATATAATATTAGGCAAATAATTGTTAAGTATAATGGATAAATTAATATCATATGCTTTATGTGTATTCTCATTTAATCAACAAATTATTAAATAATTAGCCCAAGGTCACATGGCAAGCAGTAGGAACTTTTGATAGACAACTGGACCTGTACAACTCCAAAGCCAGAACACCATTTCTGTTTTCATTGAAAACTCATAACTGAAATGACTAAAATTGGTTTCTTTATGAATTTTTTTTTGCCCCAAGATTTTTGTTAATTTATTAATAATGACATTCACAATAAATTGAATCCTATTAATGAAATGATCTAAATGTAAAAGAGGAACTCAGTCTCACTTTGATAGTCCATATACGAAGAATGCGATGGCTGTATTTCTCTTTCATTATGTCCTAAGGAGTAAGTTAAGGAGTTTATGTGTTATTTTAAAACTAGGAAATGATGACAGATCTTTCTAGCTCTGCTCTCTGCACTTACACAGTTGAAAATGAGTGAGGAAGGACAGACAGATTAAAAAAAGAGCTAGCTTAGTAAAATCCATTTTTGTCCCAGCAGTATAGTGAAAAGAGTTAATGAATGAGACACTCTTTAGGAAAGGAGAATAGAGCTAAGTGATGAATGAAAGAAGGAACATTTTGCTGGTCCAACAATTTTAAATGTTTATTTTATATTTTTATTGTAAACGTATTTTTTAAACATATTTTACACTTAAGTACTGGTTGGGGAGATGCTATTAATACATAAACATGTAAAGATTAGAGTTTTAATCTGGGTGAATGGTAGCTATATTTGGGGAAGTAGAATCTAGGAATGGAAAAAGGGACTCATGATTTAGAAATCTCTAAAGGGTAAAGAATGAGAAAGGTAATTATTTTCATAGATTGTTTTATGGATGACACTTGACAGCCTCCTAAGTCTGGCAAATGAAATAGTCAAAGGAACCTTTAGCTGCCTGAATTTAAGAATTTTGTATTAAAACTGAAAATTAAGGTAATAAATTCTAAGAATAACTCCTGAATGGGAATAATCTTCCTGCTTGACGATGTCTAAAGCCAGATTCCTTTTCTTTTAAATCCAGATAAGAAAGAAGAAAAACGAAGGCACTCGAGATCAAGATCACGTTCTAGGAGGAGGAGGACTCCCTCATCTTCTAGGCACAGGTTATTAGATTGATTGCTTTTTGGTAGTAAGTTGTAGCTTAGACAAAGATAATTTCTCTATGTGTCACATCTGCTTATCTCTTAACCTAATTAGCTCCTGGTTAAAGTGGTTTTGGTAACTACTGCTGTTAGCAGAGTATGAGAATAAGTGTTCACACATATATAAATGGAGAAAAGACATGGAGGGTTGATACTTTAAAACCCCCAAAAATCCAGGCTTAGGAGGAAGTCACTGGGATTTGAGCACTAAAATGAATTAGTACTATGGAAAGAACACTGGACTTGAAACTTTTAACTTGAATTCTAGTTCTGACTTTTCACCGGACTCCTGAGAGTTTGAACATGGAATGTCGTCATGCAGCCTGCAGATTACCATCTAAAGCTTGAATATTTGCAGATGACAGCTTGTTACCTTTTATGAGATTGTTCTTTGTATTATTGGACAAACCACGTGATAGTACCAATTATTCTTTATCCTACCTAGAATGAGACTAGGCAATTTAAAAGGACCAGTGTATTTTCTTTTTCACATGACATTCCTGTATAAGTTTGTAAGGGTCTCTCTAGCCCAGTGGCTCTCAAACTTGCTGGTATTAAGACCTCTATACTTGTAGAAAATTTGAGTACTCCGATGAGCTTTTGTTTATGTGGGTTATATCTATCAGTGTTGGCCGTAATAAAATTTGAAACCATCATCTGAAATAACAGTAGTAAACCCATTTGTATTAACTTAGCTTTGAAACAAAACTTTGCCAGAAAAATTAAAAGAATGGCTTTGTTTTAAATCTTTGCAAATCTCTTTAACCTTTGGCTTACTAGAAGGCATGTACAGGATTCTGCATTCAACTTATTGCAATATATTTTAGTTAATATATGTACAAAATCTTACACAAATATATAGTGAGAAGAGGGAAAAGTAATTTTATAGTCTTTTCAGGTAATTGGGAATAGTATTCTTTGATATAATACCAAAACTTAACAAGAGTACTTTCTTAAAAGGTAGTAGTAATATGGAATCTGAAACCGTAATAGTGAACCTTTTATATTTTGCTACTTTAAAATCTGTTGATCTTTCTTAAACCTTGATGGATCTTTTTCCCAGGCATGCTTTTGTACAGTTATGCATTGGTGGTTTGGAAAATGATTGATTTATTGCATTATGCAGGTTTTCAAATGTTGACACATTTTGTTACACAAGATCAAAAAATGACTTGGTAATATCGCCACACATCTCATCGGTAAACCCTTTTAAAGTGTTAGGAAGCTGTCAAGTTCACAATGGTGTGTTCAGGTTTTCCAAAATTTAATTTTCTCTTGAAAGCTCAAATTTTATTATTGGCAACAAATTTGGTTTCCTTGAAATGATAAACCTTACTCATTTTCCATGAAAGTGTTCTACCAAATACCCAAGTCTGAACAACCATGGTTTGTCACTTGTTCTTTCAGGTAAAGATGATATTTCATGGCAAAAGCAATTAGGTGAGCTCACACTCAGTCACACAGGTGTCTTCCTTGACACAGTCATTGAACTATAAAGTATCAGAAGTGATTTATGCATACTGCCCATTTTGTTACACAGAATATTGCTGAAGGGACTAGATTTAACATTACTAGTCAATAACACTACTCTAATATTACTCAAGGGACTAGATTTAATAAAATTAATAGTTTTTACTGGCTTTATCAAAGACATCCTTAGTGAAAATGGCAGGGTTTTTTCTTTCTTTCTTTTTACTGCAAGTGCATACTACAAATGAAGAATACAGTAGATACAGGAAGGTTCAGTTGCCACTACCTTGATTTGTAATAAGGAGATGCCAGTACTTGTACACCACCATTGCTTTTGCACCATTAGTGCAAATGTCACAGTGGAAAAGGCAAAAAATATCTTGTTATTATTTTGAAAAACAAAAAAATTGACGGACCCCATAACATTGTTAAGTCATTTTTTAGACTGTGTCTTAGTCCATTCGGATGCTATAACAATACCATAGACTGGGTGGCTTATAAACAATAGAAATTTACTTCTCACAGTGTTGGAAGCTGGGAAGTTCAAGATCAAGGTGTCAGTAAATTTGGTGTCTGGTGAGGACCTGCTTCCTCATTTATAGTTTGCTGTCTCTTCACTGTGTCCTCACATAGGGGAATGGACCAGGGGGTCTTCTGAGACTTGTTTCATATGGGCATTAATCCTATTCATGAAAGCTGCACCTTTATAATGTAGTCACCTCCCAAAGGCCGCTACCTCATAATGTCATAACATTGGGTATTCGGTTTTGCATAAGAATTTTGGGAGGACACAAACATTCAGTCTGTAGCAGAATGTTACAGGGTAGTTTTGTCTGGTGTGTCTGTCACCCACCTTCCCCCAGCCCATCTCATTCTTAAAGATGTCTTTCAAAAACCCAAATCTAGAACATGTCACAGCTCTATGAAACCTTTAGAAGCTCCTTATTGTCTTAATAAGTTAACACATAAAACCTTAGAATGGTGTTCAAGGATCTTTACTATTCATCTTGGTTTAATCTTTCTACACTTGTCAATTGCCACTCCAAAATAGCTAACCTCATTATTATATTTGTTATGGTGATCTGTGATTAGTGATCTTTGATGTTGTTACTATTGCAAAAAGATTATAGCTCCCTGAAAGCTCAGGTGATGTTTAGCAATCTTTAGCCACATTTTTAATTAAATTACGTACACTGTTTTTTAGACATAATGCTATTGCACACTTCACAGACTACAGTATAGTATAAACATAACTTTTATATGCACTGGGAAACCATAAATTCATTGTGACTCACTTTTTTGCGATACTCAGTTTATTGCAGTGATCTGGGAACAAACTCATAGTATCTCTGAGCTGTGCCTGTACTTAGAATCCTAACCTTCCAGAACAGGTGGTCTCATAGCTTAGTTTAACACTTAAAAAGATTTAAAAAGGAGAACCTATATCTTTTTCCTTTGTACATAACAGGGACATGCTAAGGCTTTCAAATAACTAATTTTAATTATGACCAATGGGAAATAACAGTGAAACTTTTATTTCCCTGAACAAAGTGCTTTTGAACACTTGTAGTAATGCCTCATAACAGAAAGATAAAGTTTATGAGTTGTTGTATTTTAAGCATCTTGGTATATAAAATGACCATTACGTTGAATAAGCTTTTTGCATATTTAGATACATAATACGATAATCTTTATTTTTCTGATTTTTAAAAGCTTATGTAAACTGTTGAAGTGGCTCTGTAGTGCAATGCTGTTGAAAAATAACTGTTTTAGCACCTTATAATAAATTGATTGATGTAATACCTCTGCTTATCAGATTTTTTAAACTATTTTATATATATATTTTTTTAATTATTAAAAGTTAGATTTAAATAACCATATGTGATTAGTGGCTACTGTATTGAACAACTCAGTTCTACCTTTACACAGACTTAGTTAAATCTCAACTAATAATACAACAATTTTTTTTCTTTTATAAGTGACTTTTTTTTCCATGAAAAGTAAGAAAAAATATGGAACGCTTCACGAATTTGCATGTCATCCTTGCGCAGGGGCCATGCTAATCTTTATCGTTCCAATTTTAGTATATGTCCTGCCGAAATGAGCACTATTTTATATTATTAATCACTTTGTTTAGAAGGAAACCTACAACAATGCACTTACGATTTTTTCCTACAACTATATTTTTTTCTATATACATTAGAGGTAGGATAAATGTGTAACCGTTTTGCTAAAATGATTGTTGACTTAAATTTTTGTTAAAGCCAGAATTCTCAAAATATGAACAATACTTAATTCTAATAGCATCAATTTTGGTTTTCCAGAATTTAAAAAATTCTTAATAAGAAAGTGATGGTTCTGATATAGGGTCAATATTTCACTCAAAATATATTAATAGTACCGTTTACTAGTCAGACACTGTAGTAGTTGCTCAAGTGTACAGTGGTATAGACATATATACCCCTTGTCCTTATGGAGCTTAGAAAAAGGTAGGTAAGCATTACATGAAAATTTCCTAGGATATAGACATGTTATTGAGAGGGATTGCTTTAGTAGATAGTTTCAAATATGGTCAAAAAATAAGAAATGAGCAAAACATAAAGTTATTGAATTTGATGAGACACTGCTACTGATGGGTTTTGAAACAGCTGCTCTAGAGAATGATGGCAATACTATGTTAACACATTAGTAAGAGAAGAGGGAGTCGGTATATAATATATATGTCTACAGTAAGGCACTGAGCTGGGCTTTATTCTGTGATGGAGGTGCTGTTGTTTTTCTTTGCTGAAGTAATAGGCTCAAAGAGGTTAAATAATGAATGCTCTCAGTTAACTGGCTTATAAATGAGATTTGAACACAAATCTACATTACTAAAATGTCCGTCCTTTGGCACTTTGAAAAAGTAAAAGCAAAAAGTTTAAATTGTATTTGAAGTTTTCCATGAAAAGAGGTTGAATGGTCCACTAGAAATTAAATGACCAAGTCTAAGCAAAGAACTGCAATTTATTTTCAATTATTCTTAAAATAGAAAGGAATAAAATATAGGAAGGAGGATCAAAGAACATCAAAAGGTTAATTGCACTTAACCTTTTAGAGAAAGTATGGGGGGCAGGATGGTATGCGTTAGGCGCAGAGAGAAACATCTCTTACATGGCAGGAAAGAGATGATGATGTAATGTTGAGGACACTTAAGAGTAGAAAAGGCAGTCTGTACTGAGTTGAATGTATCTGTATCATGCTTGCATTACTTGGATTTCTCTTAAACTGCAAATCGAGGAAGTGGAATATATTTCAGAGAACAACAATTGGAAATCATAGAAGGCAACACACTATATGTTTTCCATTTTTAAAATGGGAATAATAATGGTACATACTTTATTAGGTTTATTATGAGGGTAAATGAGTTAGTATTTGTAAAGCATGTAGTGGGCATAAATAAGTATTCGATAAGTAGTAAATGGGTTTAACTTGAAATAGTGAGGAATCAAATAAGGTGTATTTGCAAAAATGCTGTGTAATTGCGAAATGATGCAAATGAGTCAAATATTTTTTGTTTTCCTTCATTCTCTAGCAGTATTTTTAAGTCTGGAGTTGTAGTTTCAATGGGCAAAGTAGGATTGGTTTGACAGGTTGAGCAAAAGATTAAAAGGTGAGGAATTCCAGGTGTTAAAAGGTATTTACTAATTTCTAGGATATCAAAGATGTTGTGTAGAGTAAATAAATAATGGCAGGAAATTACCCTCACTGATGGCTAGTCCACATGTCTGAATCTTTTGTCTGATGCTTATATGAAATAGTCAGAAACAGAGCTAGTCTTTTTCCATTTACATACATGTGTTTGCTTCCTTTTATATTATAAGGCGGTCAAGAAGCAGATCAAGAAGGCGATCACATTCTAAGTCAAGGAGTAGACGACGATCCAAAAGTCCAAGACGGAGAAGATCTCATTCCAGAGAGAGGGGTAGAAGGTCAAGGAGCACATCAAAAAACAGGTACAGTAAAAAAAAAACTATTAACAAACACTGAGTGGGAAGACAAATTTTAGAGTTCCCAACACCCCCAAATATTGCTGCTTTAATGACAAAGAAGAGGTTATGATAGGAGATAGGAAGAAACTGGTGGAGGAGGCATTGTTTTCTTGTGCTTCTTCATAAACTTGAGATTTCTACTTAGAGCTGAAGGCCTAGATAAAATTTCTTTGTAGTAAAAATTCTTAGCTGTTTCTACTGCCTTTTTTCATTTCCTCTTTTCCATTCAGCCATTACTAAGGATTTATTGTTACCAGCCACATCTCTTGGTATGCCAAAGAGTTTATGGCAGACAATCATGCCTTCCTAATTCATCTTTATATACCTCATTGTGAGCACCTTTGTAAATATGAATTCCGTATTGCTATATTCCAGAGACTGAACCATACTTAACAGTCTTATCCCATGGTTTGGGGACCAGTAGAGAATTAAAGTGAGGATTCATTAAAAAACAGACATCCCCACCTTAACATTGTATTTCAGCTTAAACATGTATTCAGTAATTTGTTTTTTCATATAGGGTCAAACTGTTTGAAATTAGGCCTAGTCTTGAATAATACATACCAAATCACTTTCTTTTCATTTAAACCACCTTTAAAAGTGTTGAGAACTCTGTTACTTGGAAATATGTCGATTTTTTTCCCCCATTTTTAGTTGTCACACAATACAATTTCACAACACTTAATTTTTAACAAATGTCCTTTATCTCTTTCTAAAACATTTGCCTTAATTTTCTAGAAGCAGCCCTATATTTTATACTACTTTACCCATTTATATATTTAATTATGTAATTAAAATAGTAAGGATCACAGGGAGGGGGCAACAAAATTTATTCTTGGTAAGCATATAACTCAAGTGGGGACAGAGGTTCTGGGATAGCTTTACTGAGTGTTCAGCCTCTAACGAGGCTTTTACTCATGTTTTACAGTTAGTCATCTTTTAATTCAGTCAGTCAAACAAACAAGCTTACTTAATGAAACATCTCTTACACAAAGCAATTAGGCATTCCTTTCCTCAAGGAACTTCCTTTATACTAGGAGAGAGATGAATGTAATTACAAAGGAAGGGCCATTTTTAGGGATGTCGGAAGAGATTTATTGAGAGGTGACTCTTGAGTATTGAATTCTGATAGATTTGACTGGACTCGGGGGGCATGGTTTCAGGTAGAGAATGTTTACAAAGTTAGCATGAATTCTTGAAATAGCAAGTATTTTGGTATAGAAGGACCAGGAAATGAGGTCAGGAAAGTTAAGGAGACGGATCACCATAGAAGGCTTTGTTGTTCACACTAAGGAGTTTGTGGCTGATCCAGGAGGCAACAGGAATGAATTGAAAAGTGATGAGCAGGGAATTAATATTTTCAAATTTGTACTTTGAAAGATTTCTGATAGGGGGTATAGCATCAATATGTGGAAAATATGACTGGGGCCCCTTAAAGCACTATTAAAGTAATCTAGGAATTCGATGATAAAGACTTGAATGAATAGAGAGGATAACTGATGGAGCAGGATGAGCAAAGATGGGAGGGAATGAAGCACAGGATATAGGGTGGGACTAGCCTAGAATAACCGAAGAGATACTTTAATCTCTAAAACTGTAGAACAGTTGAAAATAGGTATGTGTTCATGAGTATAAGGATATAAGGGACATATATATATTACAAATATGTATATATTTTACCTTTTGCCTAGAATCTTGGGGCAAAAAAATGCTGTGGGGAATAAAAGTAAACATAGAAGAATCTGTAGAAAGATTTTAGAGTTGAGGCCTGAACATCCATTTTGATGTTCTTTTTCTAAAAGCATTGAATAGCCCAGAATATATAGCAGCAGGGAACAAGTTACAAGGTTGGCTTCATCCATGAAGAGGTTACATCGGGTGTGTGCTTTGAAAGAAAAACTTAAAATAGTGATGGGGCTTTGGCCTGTCAGTAGAGGATTTAGAGCCAGGGTCGGTTGGGAAACTGGTACTTACTTAGCTGAGAGAAAAACAGAGTGTTGAAGAGCCTAGAGAAAGTTATTGAAACTATTACCGTTTATCGCCAGACATACTAAGAAACTGGCCAACATCCTTGTTTTCTTGCCACATAGTCTGCTTTGCTCTTGGAGAGAAGTTTTATGTGGAATACCAGGAAAATAGGATTTTTAAAATTTGTTTACCACAAATACGCCGCTTGAGTTACTGTTATTCTTAAGTTTGTAAGTTTGTATGATAACATTGTTTGTATAATAAAAGTTTGTAAGTTTGTATAATAACATTAAAGAATCACATTCGATTTCACTGTACATCTGTTTTTATTTGTAGTTTGATAGAAATATATATTAGTTGAATCTTCTAATACATTCATAAATTGTTTTCATTTCTTAGAGACAAAAAGAAAGAAGACAAAGAAAAGAAACGTTCCAAAACACCACCAAAAAGTTACAGCACAGCCAGACGTTCCAGAAGTGCAAGCAGGTAGGGTGGCATTATGAATTCTTGGCATTTTATTAAGCGTTCATTTTCTTTTTTTTTTTTAACATCTTTATTGGAGTATAATTGCTTTACAATGGTGTGTTAGTTTCTGCTTTATAACAAAGTGAATCAGTTACACATATACATATGTTCCCATATCTCCTCCCTCTTAAATCTCCCTCCCTCCCACTCTCCCTATCCCACCCCTCTAGGTGGTCACAAAGCACCGAGCTGATCTCCCTGTGCTATGCGGCTGCTCTCCCACTAGCTGTCTGTTTTACGTTTGGTGGTGTATATATGTGCATGCCACTCTCTCACTTTGTCACAGCTTACCCTTCCCCCTCCTCATATCCTCAAGTCCATTCTCTAGTAGGTCTGTGTCTTTATTCCTGTCTTACCCCTAGGTTCTTCATGACATATTTTTTTTCTTAAATTCCATATATATGTATTAGCATACGGTATTTGTCTTTCTCTTTCTAACTTCACTCTCTATGACAGACTCTAGGTCCATCCACCTCATTACAAATAGTTCAACTTTGTTTCTTTTTATGGCTGAGTAATATTCCATTGTATATATGTGCCACATCTTCCTTATCCATTCATCCGACGGTGGACACTTAAGTTGTTTCCATCTCCTGGCTATTGTAAATAGAGCAGCAATCAACATTTTGGTACTTGACTCTTTTTGAATCCCAGTAGTGGGATTGCTGGGTCACATGGTAGTTCTATGTAGATTTTTAAGGGGCCTCCATACTGTTCTCCATAGTGGCTGTACCAATTCACACTCCCACCAGCAGTACAAGAGTGTTCCCTTTTCTCCACACCCTCTCCAGCATTTATTGTTTCTAGATTTTTTGATGATGGCCATTCTGACTGGTGTGAGATGATATCTCATTGTAGTTTTGATTTGCATTTCTCTAATGATTAATGATGTTGAGCATTCTTTCATGTGTTTGTTGGCAATCTGTATATCATCTTTGGAGAAATGTCTATTTAGGTCTTCTGCCCATCTTTGGATTGGGTTGTTTTTTTGTTATTGAGCTGCATGAGCTGCTTATAAATTTTGGAGATTAATCCTTTGTCAGTTGCTTCATTTGCAAATATTTTCTCCCATTCTGAGGGTTGTCTTTTGGTCTTGTTTATGGTTTCCTTTGCTGTGCAAAAGCTTTGCAGTTTCATTAGGTCACATTTGTTTGTTTTTGTTTTTATTTCCATTACTCTAGGATGTGGGTCAAGAAGGATCTTGCTGTGATTTATGTCATAGAGTGTTCTGCCTATGTTTTCCTCTAAGAGTTTGATAGTTTCTAGCCTTACATTTAGGTCTTTAATCCATTTTGAGCTTATTTTTGTGTATGGTGTTAGGGAGTGATCTAATCTCATACTTTTACATGTAGCTGTCCAGTTTTCCCAGCACCACTTATTGAAGAGGCTGTCCTTTCTCCACTGTATATTCCTGCCACCTTTATCAAAGATAAGGTGACCATATGTGCATGGGTTTATCTCTGGGCTTTCTATCCTATTCCATTGATCTATCTTTCTGTTTTTGTGCCAGTACCATACTGTCTTGATTACTGTAGCTTTGTAGTATAGTCTGAAGTCAGGCAGCCTGATTCCTCCAGCTCCATTTTTTGTTCTCAAGATTGCTTTGGCTATTCGGGGTCTTTTGTGTTTCCATACAAATTGTGAAATTTTTTGTTCTAGTTCTGTGAAAAATGCCAGTGGTAGTTTGATAGGGATTGCATTGAATCTATAGATTGCTTTGGGGAGTAGAGTCATTTTCACAATGTTGATTCTTCCAATCCAAGAACATGGTATATCTCTCCATCTGTTTGTATCATCTTTAATTTCTTTCATCAGTGTCTTATAATTTTCTGCATACAGGTCTTTTGTCTCCTTAGGTAGGTTTATTCCTAGATATTTTATTCTTTTTGTTGCAGTGGTAAATGGGAGTGTTTTCTTGATTTCACTTTCAGATTTTTCATCATTAGTGTATAGGAATGCCAGAGATTTCTGTGCGTTACTTTTGTATCCTGCTACTTTACCTAATATATTGATTAGCTTTAGTAGTTTTCTGGTAACATCTTTAGGATTCTCTATGTAGAGTATCATGTCATCTGCTAATAGTGACAGCTTTACTTCTTTTCTAATTTGGATTCCTTGTATTTCCTTTTCTTCTCTGCTGTGGCTAAAACTTCCAAAACTATGTTGAATAAGAGTGGTGAGATTGGGCAACCTTGTCTTGTTCCTGATCTTAGTAGAAATGATTTCAGTTTTTCACCATTGAGGGTGATGTTGGCTGTGGGTTTGTCATATATGGCCTTTATTAGGTTGAGGAAAGTTCCCTCTGTGCCTACCTCCTGGAGGGTCTTTATCATAAATGGGTGTTGAATTTTGTCTAAAGCTTTCATTTGCATCTGTTGAGATGACCATATGGTTTTTCTCCTTCAGTTTGTTAATATGGTGTATCACATTGATTGATTTGCTTATATTGAAGAATCCTTGCATTCCTGGAATTAACCCCACTTGATCGTGGTGTATGATCCTCTTAATGTGCTGTTGGATTCTGTTTGCTAGTATTTTGTTGAGGATTTTTGCATCTATGTTCATCAGTGATATTGGCCTGTAGTTTTCTTTCGTTGTGACATCTTTGTCTGGTTTTGGTATCAGGGTGATGGTGGCCTTGTAGAATGAGCTTGGGAGGGTTCCTCCCTCTGCTATATTTTGGAAGAGTTTGAGAAGAATAGGTGTTAGCTCTTCTCTAAATGTTTGGTAGAATTCGCCTGTGAAGCCATCTGGTCCTGGGCTTTTGTTTGTTGCAAGATTTTTAATCACATTTTCAATCTCAGTGCTTGTGAATGGTCTGTTCATATTTTCTATTTCTTCCTGATTCAGTCTTGGCAGGTTGTGCATTTCTAAGAATTTGTCCCTTTCTTCTAGGTTGTCCATTTTATTGGCATAGAGTTGCTTGTAGTAATCTCTCATGATCTTTTGTATTTCTGCAGTGTCAGTTGTTGCTTCTCGTTTTTCATTTCTGATTCTATTGATTTGAGTCTTCTCCCTTTTGTTCTTCATGAGTGTAGCTAATGGTTTATCAATTTTATCTTCTCAAAGAACCAGCTTTGAGTTTTGTTGATCTGTGGCTATCGTTTCCTTCATTTCTTTTTCATTTATTTCTGATCTGATCTTTATGATTTCTTTCTTTCTGCTAAATTTGGGGTTTTCTTGTTCTTCTTTCTCTAATTGCTTTAGGTGCAATGTTAGGTTGTTAATTCGAGATGTTTCCTGTTTCTTAAGGTAGGGTTGTATTGCTATAAACTTCCCTCTTAGAACTGCTTTTGCTGCATCCCATAGGTTTCGGGTCATCATGTCTCTATTGTCATTTGTTTTTAGGTATTTTTTGGTTTCCTCTTTGATTTCTTCAGTGATCACTTCGTTATTAAGTAGTGTATTGTGTAGCCTCCATGTGTTTGTATTTTTTACAGATCTTTTCCTTTAATATCTAGTCTCATAGCATTGTGGTCGGAAAAGATACTTGATACAATTTCAATTTTCTTAAATTTAACAAGGCTTGATTTGTGACCCAAGATATGATCTGTCCTGGAGTATGTTCCATGAGCACTTGAGAAAAATGTGTCCTCTGTTGTTTTTGGATGGAATGTCCTATAAATATCAGTTAAGCCCATCTTGTTTAATGTATCATTTAAAGCTTGTGTTTCCTTATTTTCATTTTGGATGATCTGTCCATTGGTGAAAGTGGGGTGTTAATGTCCCCTACTATGAATGTGTTACTGTTGATTTCCCCTTTTATGGCTGTTAGTATTTGCCTTATATATTGAGGTGCTCCTATGTTGGGTGCATAAATATTTACAATTGTTATATCTTCTTCTTGGATCGATCCCATGATCATTATATAGTGTCCTTCCTTGTCTCTTGTAACATTCTTTATTTTAAACTCTATTTTGAATGATAATGAGAATTGCTACTCCATCTTTCTTTTGGTTTCCATTTGCATGGAATATCTTTTTCCATCCCCTCACTTTCAGTCTGTTTGTGTCTCTAGGTCTGAAGTGGGTCTCTTGTAGACAGCATATGTATGAGTCTTGTTTTTATATCCATTCAGCCAGTCTGTGTCTTTCGGTGAGAGCATTTAATCCATTTACATTTAAGGTAATTGTCAATATTTATGTTCCTATTCCCATTTTCTTAATTGTTTTGGGTTTGTTATTGTACGTCTCTTCCTTCTCTTGTGTTTCTTGCCTAGAGAAGATCCTTTAGCATTTGTTGTAAAGTTGGTTTGGTGGTGCTGAATTCTCTCAGCTTTTGCTTGTCTGTAAAGGTTTTAATTTCTCCATCAAATCTGAATGAGATCCTTGCTGGGTAATCTTGGTTGTAGGTTTTTCTCCTTCATCACTTTAAATATGTCCTGCCAGTCCCTTCTGGCTTGCAGAGTTTCTATTGAAAGATTAGCTGTTAACCTTATGGGGATTCCCTTGTGTGTTTTTTGTTGTTTTTCCCTTGCTGCTTTTAATATGTTTTCTTTGTATTTAATTTTTGACAGTTTGATTAATATGTGTCTTGGAGTGTTTCTCCTTGGATTTATCCTGTATGGTACTCTCTGTGCTTCCTGGACTTGATTAACTATTTCCTTTCCCATATTAGGGACGTTTTCAACTATAATCTCTTCAAATATTTTCTCAGTCCCTTTCTTTTTCTCTTCTTCTGGAACCGCTATAATTCAAATGTTTGTGCGTTTAATATTGTCCCAGGGGTCTCTGAGACTGTCCTCATTTCTTGTCATTCTTTTTTCTTTATTCTGACCTGCAGTAGTTATTTCCACTATTCTATCTTCCAGGTCACTTATCCGTTCTTCTGCCTCAGTTAGTCTTCTATTGATCCCTTCTAGAGTTTTTTAAATTTCATTTGTTGTGTTTTTCATCATTGCTTGTTTCATCTTTAGTTCTTCTAGGTCCTTGTCAGATGTTTCTTGCATTTTGTCTATTGTA